CAGTTTCAGCTTCCCTTTTGTCTAGCGTGGCTTGTGTTGAAAGTCTAGTCTCCTCCCGAAAGAGCTCTCCCAATAACTTATCCATAGAGGGCAATCTTACCCGGTTTAATATACTAGCACGAAAAGGCTCAAATTCAGGTCTTAGCTTCATAAAAAATTGCATCACTTTTCTTTCATCATTCAGACTCTGTAAACTCTGTAAGCAACAGTTCTCACGGTCACCCATAATCCCCTGCTCATATTCAATCCACAGACTCATGAAAGCAGCATAACAATCTTGAATATTTTTATCACCCTGTGCAAACTTGAAAATGTCAAATTCAATCTGAAATTTCCTAGCCCAATTTGACTACTGATAGACCTTTTCAAGATGTTCCCACATTGCCTTAGCAGTGCGAAATCCTCGCATAGGGATTCCAATATTAATATGAACAGAAGCCAAAATCCAAGAAACAATTTTTGCATTATTCATCTTCCACTGTTGAAGTTCTTTGATTTTTGATGCTTTAGGCATAGGCTCGGTTCCATCAATATAGCCCCACAAACCTTTGCCTTCTACAAAGAATTGAAAATGGAATTTCCACAAAGAAAAATTCTTTCCATCTAATTTGATAGCCAAAGTCTCATTTTTCTCGGCCATTATTGAATCCAATTCCACAGCAACAAATCAATATGCAAATCAACCAAGGAGAAAAGCAAATAAAAGGGTAATCAATATTACCGTCAATACGAAATGAAAAACCCAATCAAGAAATCCAATCTCCAATCCACACTATGATCGTGACAAAACAAGAAAAGGAGGAATCTGGTTTGGCTTCAGCGTCGGAATCCTCTGCAATGGCTTCACCTCCGATACTGAGCCGATGGTTATGGAGTCAAAACCCCTGGTGACGGCGATGTCTCAGGAACTGGCAAAATCTCCTCTATAATGGCTTCACCTCCGATACTAGGCCAGTGGTTATGAAGTCAAAACCCCAGGCGGCACGAAAGAAGAAGCCCTAGCGAAATCGACTCTGATACCATGTAAAGTGAGGCAGAAGTGGAGGGTACAAAACAAAATTACAGAGCTGCTCACCCTTAGCAGCATATTTATATTAGGTTATATAAAATGTAAAGTTACATAAAAGCCCTTAATATAAAACAAAATTACAAAATATGCCTATTTCCTACACATACAGATGTCTAATTTACCTACAACCCTTTGTGACTTGACGATAACACCAGCGCCCATCGATATCCCCATAAAACCATGCTGTAAAGAGAGGCCAATTGAAAGCCCCCAAGACCCTCTCAGAGAAGAGAGAAGAAAAATTTGAAGAAACTCTCATTAGATCATGAGGGAAGAAAGCCTCAATTAAAAGGGCGGCACAAGACCCTCACTAGGGAGGAAACAAAGCCGCACACCACCATGACAATGCAAATTTGCAGCGGCAACCCTAGAGAAGTATAGGCGGGCGGCATGAGAAACTAGAGTTTTTGGCAGAACGAGCATTGGACCTTTTTCAAGTAGTCATTTGGTATTTGGTATTGAATAATGTTGCCTTGTAGGTAAGTTTGGGGCACAATTTTGCCCCTTTCTATAAGTGTAGTGGCTGATTTGACAATAAAAAATATTAAGAGATTGATCTTACACAACAGTTCAAGAGTATAGTTGTGCTTTTAAGTTTTTGATTTCGATTTTTTTTTATAAGTTTCGCAACCATGAAAATTAAACAAATAAAAAAATTAAATTAAAAAAAATTAATACTGACAATTAAGAATATTTATTTGTTTAATAAAAATAAAATTATTTTTGTTCTTAATTTTCTAATAATTATAATGATATGTTACAAACATACATAAAAATAAATGAACTATTGGTTTAAAATTACAAAATTTATAAAAACAAAAACCAAAAATTAAAAATTACAAAAATACTAAAATGAAGCTTAATTCACCAAAAGGACACTCACATAGGTACAAACACTTCTTATTTAATATACTTTACAATATATTGATTAAGAAATTATTATTTTTTAAATTTAAATTAAAGGCAAAGACAAGTTAAATATCTAAATTTTAATAACTGAATCGATGAGTATCGATAGGTGTTCTAATAATTTTCCTTCACCAAAATTTAAATTGTCTTTGAAAATTGAAAATAACATGGTTAATTAATTGACAATAACCCACCTGTCTTCTCTTTTATTAATATTTTTTTAACTTATACCCTTAAAGTGTAATGAATACAATTTTTAGTCATTAAATTATATAAAAAATAAAAATGTTGATATCAAATTTATGAAAAGTGTTTTACAAGGAGGACTACACATTAAAATTGTAGTTTGTTCTTTAAATTTACTAAAATATTCTTAGTAAAATAATATAAAAACAATTTTTTAAATGTATTTTAATAAAATCATAGTTTAGACTTTGCTTTTAATGTATAATCTAGATTGTAAAACATGAACTCAAATTTAACACCAATGTTACATGTATTAATTTAACAAGTTAGTTGATAAAATTAAAATTAAATTTTTATTTTTTCTATGTAATTTAATGGTTACAAAATGTATTAATTGCATTTTTAATATACACAGTTATGCACAGGACAAAAAAGCCTTAATCTATCCTTGACCTTTGACTTGAATTTGGAACTTGACCCCTGGGTTCAAACATTCACTGTGGCAAACCGCCAGCCAACCAACCCTACGCGTCTCTTGCCAAACAATGCATAACTGATCTTCTAGAAAAAGTAAAAAGTCTAATTCGCCGGTTTAAAAGATGGGAGTGCAAAAAATTAGGATCTTCAAACTTTCAATCACATTTGTAAGATGGGTAGAACTGGGCCCGTTAAATAATATAATAATTTGTAATTAACTTATGAGTTACTTAAATTAAATTTAATTAGACCTCAATAAAAAAAGAGCTTAAATTTGATCATTTATAAGTACTTTGAGTTACATGTTAATACCCAATTTAAAATTAAAAATCATATTATATTTTTATTTATTAAATTTAAATATATACTAATTTAAAATTTTAATAAAATTAAAAATGTAACTTAAATAAGTACTCATTAGT